GATACAGTTGACAATTTTGTTTTCGTAGTGATTGTTGCGGTAAATTTTGTTATTTTTTATGTCAACAATATACATTATGTGAATTTAAACTAGCTAACTATAGATGTTTTTTTTTGTTATCCGATAAAACTTTATGTATCCACATAGACAGATTACTGGATGTTAATTAGTTTCACTTATACAACTGGCGAATTTATTTCATAATTTGCAATCGTTATGGTTGAGAATATGGCATCAACTGTATATAAGCTATGTACTCCACTTACACATTGTTATAGTAAGTGTAAAAAAAAGAGAGAGACAGTTTAGTAATGATTGAGTATGCAGCTCGTGGGCACATTATTAAATTGAATGGTATGATGGATATGCAGACACTGTCTTCTGTGAAACTCAAGAACTGATATAGGACGACGAAAAAAGAATCACTATAGGACAAAAAAGATGATGGAGATTCTTTTTTTTTTAACCAAAGAAAAAATTCATATTAATTCAACTATATAAATGTATGCAGTATGCGTAATATCAACTATTTAATTCACTGTGTAAATTAGTAAGATTTAGGCATGTGAATATGTTTTGTATACGTAATGTATTGCCACAACAAAACAGCATGTCGCAGCATTGATTTCGTTATCACCTAACCGTTAAATACCGTCATGGCCCTAGATTTATTGTAATTTTGTACCCTCTTTTGCTCCTTATTTTGTTGATATGTCGACCCCTTTATAAAATTTAAATTTTACGACTATATAGTAAAACTAAACACAACTACATTGTCAAATACTAATAAGATCTTAACAAAAGATACACATGTTTTTACCAAAAAAAAAAAGATACACATGTTATCACTAATAATGTAGTAACATACTAACAATGATTGGCTTAGACCATCTCCAATCGTTGGCTCTATTTCTTGCTCTAAATTTGGAGTGTTCTAAAAATAGACCAGAGGTTTGCTCCAATAGTTGATTCTATTTTTTGCTCTAAAATAAATAATGTATTTTAATATTTTGCTTTAATTTTTTATATGGTCCTATATTTTCAAAGTTTGCAAATTTTATCCACTTAGTTTATTTTGACATATATATCTAATAAAACCATATTATTAAAAATTAAATTTTATTACAACACATAAATAGAAGATTGAAAGATTAATATATTTTTATTTAAGCATCATCATTAGTGTACTTCTCCCACAAATGATCGACTAATGCATTTCTAAGTGAAAAATGAGCTTCTTTGTCTTTGATTTGTTGATATCGAGCAAAAAATTCTTGAAATCGAGTACTTTCATCCTCCGCTAGTTCGACCTCTGGAGGTGGATCTTCTCTTCCAACTTCAATTGGTGCATTTAGATCACGCTCATCTTCGATTATCATGTTATGTAAAATTATACATGTAGTCATTATATCATGTATCACTTTTTTATCCCAAAACCGAGCCGGTCCTTTGACAATTGCAAAACGCGATTGGAGAACTCCAAAGGCGCGTTCTACATCTTTCCTACATGCTTCTTGTTGTATAGCAAAATATTTTTTTAGGACCCCTTGGCTCGTGAATAGTTTGCACTATGGTAGAACATTTGGGATATATGCCATCAGCCAAATAATAACCCATATTATATTCTTTTCCTTGAATGACATAGTTAGCAGGAGGAGCTATACCTTGAGCAAGTTTGGAGAAAAGGTGAGAAGACTCCAATACGTTGATGTCATTATTGGTGCCCGGCATTCCAAAATAAGCATGCCATATCCAAAGATCATAATCTGCCACAGCTTCAAGAATTATCGTTGGTGATCCACTACGACCCGCATATTGTCCAGCCCAACCGGTAGGACAATTTTTCTACTTCCAATGCATGCAATCCAAGCTACCTAACATCCCTGGAAAACCCCGTTTTTCACCAATATAAAGAAGCCTTGCAACGTCATTAGCTGTTGGTGATCGTAAGTATTGCTGCGAAAATATATCCACTATGGCTCGACAAAATCTTTTCAAACTTTCAATTGCTGTTGATTCACCGATCTTAACGTATTCATCTGTGGCATCTGCTGGTAAATCATACGCTAGCATCCGAAACACGGCTGTTACTTTTTGAAGAGATGATAATCCAAGTCTACCAGTTGTATCCCTTCTTTGTGTGAAGTAGTTGTCATGACCTTCAACTGCACTAATAATACGAAGGAATAGGGAACGAGACATACGATACCTTCTGCGAAACATAGCCTCATTATAAACCGGAGTCTCTGAGAAATAATCATTGAACAAACTAGCATAAGCAGTTTCTCGATCCCGGTGGACGAAAGAACGACCTTGAACTGAGCCACCATGGATCGCATTGTTGTTTTATTGGTTGAAGAGGTATTGGATGATCGAATTGTTATTAGCGATAGTAAGATGTATAGCTTGTTCTTCTTGTTCGAGATTATTGATCATTTCCATATTTTCATTGTCATCTGAAGAGGACGATGAGTCATGAAAATCTGATGGAAAATTGGGTGGAGTATCAAAGTTAAAATTCATTTGGAGAGATATTTTTTCAAGACGAGTAAAGAAATATGTGTTGAAATTGTATATGATTTAACATAGAGTTATAGTGGTATTTATAAAAAAATATAAGAAGTCATGGAATCAACTAGTCATAGTATTGTTAAATCTTGTCAAAATGAAAAGCATTGGGAATCTTATTATCTTTTTGACATTGTATTGTTTAGTCTTATAGTGAATTGTTAAATCTTGTCGTAGTTGATTGAGAAGTATGGGAATCTTGTTATCTTTTTATATTGTATTGTCTCATCTCATAGTGAATTGTTAAATCTTGTCATAATATATTAAAAATTATAGAAGTGATTTCTTATCTTTTTGACATTGTATTGTCTCATCTCATAGTGAATTGTAAAATGTGAGAATCTTTGAAGCACTTTATCATTGTATTGTCAAATCTTGTCATAGTGAATTAAAAAATGTGAGAATCATTCTATAAATAACATAATTGATATTCAGATCCATTCACAACATCCAACCATTCCACTATTTTCTAATACATATATTCACTTTCTCTTATTTTCTTAAGTAAAATGTCTCGTTCTACTGGATATTCTAAAGAAGAAGATAAGGTTTTATGTCAAGTTTATATGGAAATTTCTCAAGATCCAATCACCGGTGTTTACCAATCATCCGACCATTTTTGGGATCGTGTGGCGGAATCTTTCGAAAATGGAAAAAATCCAACTTGGAGTGAACGTTCAAAAAAATCTCTCCGGTGTCGATTACAAACTATTGAGAAAGCTATAAGAAAACTACATGCATGCATCAAACAATGTGAAAATCGACGTTCAAGTGGTGCATCAAGTGATGATATAGTAAGTATTCTATTTATTTTTGTGATTTAGTTATCATTGTTTTAATATTTATTTATTTATTTATATTTTTAATTCTATGTAGTTCAATCAAGCCAAAGAAATGCTAATGCAAGATCAAAATTTTAAATCTGGTTGGAAATTCGATCATGTATGGAACATTATTAAAAACTTTGAAAAGTTTAAAGATGGTGCCACTCCGGCTAGAAAAGTCTCAAATCTATGCGGCTTCGGTTACACATCTTCTGAGTCCGAAAATCCTACCCCCGATTCAGTTTCACAAGCGTCTCCAGGTTTGTCTTCATTTTCTCTTAACTTAGATGACGAAGATGACATTATTGGCGGATCTCCATCTCAACGACCAAGAGGAGTGAAAAAATCTAAATTGAAAAGAAAAAATGACGGTCAAACATTGGATGTTATCAAGACTTTGGAAGAAGGGAATAAACAACTCGTGGAGCAACTAAAGAAGACAAGTGCACAAAGACAACAATATTTGGAGATGCAAAGTAAGAGTTTAGCATTGAAAGAACTAAGAGAAGAAAACAAAGTTTTATATCGAGACTTAAATTCCATTGAAGATCCAAATTTCCGTGCATATCTTCAATTTGAACAAGCAAAAATCTTAAAGAAAAGACTTGATCAACAAGCTCCGTCGGCATCTACTTCCTTTGGACAATATTTCGATGATCTTAGTGGATCTGAAAACGACCTACCGGATTATTAAATCACTAGTTTATGGTGTGTTAATTTTTTTTTTAACGGCAAGTTTAATTTTGTTTATGTACTTTTAGTTTATCATTTGTGTTGGTATTTGTGTTTGTATTGTTTTTCTAATTTAATATATGTTATTGTTATATTTTTAAATTTTAATTAATTTAGTAACTATGATATTAACATAAAATTATGTATGTATATAATTTAGTTATATAATTTTGTTTAGGTAAAAAATGATACTATATGAAAATTGAGGGAGTCCTTTGTAAATAAAAAAGTTGTGCTCTAAAAATAGAGATATGAATAGTGTTGCTCCAAAACACTATTCATATCTCTATTTTTAGAGTAAGATATAGAACACCATTGGAGTGATTTTACTCCAAATATAGAGTTTAGAGCAAGATATAGAACACCATTGAAGATGTTTTTACACACTTTTTTATTATTTGGTCGTCCGTGAGGCGTGAACCAGTGATGATTCGATGGCATTATCGTTGTTTCTCTATAAAGCTAAGGATGATATTGTCTTTTAAAATCTAAACTAACAATTATTACAAACCAAAAATAAACAAATCCGATCTTATCATAAAACCCACGATAATTATTCTCATTCTCGTTGATTCCATTGGAAAAGCCAAACAATTATATTAAAAGAAAACAAAAAAAATATTCGAATTCAAACTCTATTTAGTATTTACCACTAAAAAAAAAGATATGCACCGATTCTATAACGTTCGAGACCGTTAACGTAATCGTAGCGAATAAAGGACACGTGTCGATCGTATAGGATATAAGATTCTCGATCTATAACGGCGCCGTCAAATTTCCCGTTACATATTAAAAACAAAAAAAAAAACTATTCCTACTTCACACGAGGCTTAAATGAAAACGACAAGAGTTAATCGTGGCCGTTAAAAATTACGATCGTCACCAATCTATAACAGAACAAAACCCGAGCTAGAGTCTAGAGAGAGAGAAAACACAAACACAAACACAACTAGTGATTTCAGAGAGAGAGATCTTGAAGGTGACGTCGTCGGATATTATGGCGGCGGTTAGGAGAAGAGAACGAGATGTGGTGGAAGAGAATGGAGTTGCGACGACGACGGTGAAGCGGAGGAAGATGGAGGAGGAGGTGGATGTTGTAGAATCGAGGATAGTTTTGTCACCGTGTGTACAGGCGACGAATCGCGGTGGAATAGTGGCGAGGAATTCAGCAGGAGCGTCGGAGATGAGTGTTGTTATAGTTCGTCGGCGAGATTCTCCTCCTGTTGAAGAACAATGTGAAATCGAAGTTTCGTGTTGTTCTAGTAATAATAATAATAGATCGGAAGAGAAATCGAAACGGAGAATCGAATTTGTAGATGTTGAGGTAAAAACATTATTAATTCGAATTTGAATTTGATTTTTTTTTTTTAATTTCCAGATTTTGAATTTGGCTTTGTTTTTGTTTTCCAGGAAAATAACGGTGATGATCATGAAACTGTAACGTCGTGGATTTATGATGATTTTAATAATAGGTTTGTTTTTGGAGTTTCGAAATTGTAATCGTCGGTTATTAAAATTTTTCTAGAAATGTGTTTGATTCTTTGTTTCTAGTGAGGAATCGATGAACATGGATTCTTCTTCGGCTGCTGTAGAAGATGATGTAGAGTCTCGCCGTCGGTTAAGGAAGAGCCGCCATGAGACGGTGAAAGAAGCTGAGCTAGAAGATTTTTTCCAAACGGCGGAGAAAGATCTTCGGAATAAGATGTTGGAATGTTCTATGAAGTAAGTTTTTTGTTTTTTTTTTTTTTTGCAAATCGAATTTTTGAAACTGAGAATGAATTTGTTATAGGTATAACTTCGATTTCGAGAAAGATGAGCCACTTGGTGGAGGAAGATACGAGTGGGTTAAATTGAATCCATGAAGAAGACGATGATTATGATCATTATTTTCACCAAGTACTTATTATTCTCTTCTGTAATAATATTTGCTTTTGATTGTTCTTTAACAAAATCCAAATGTAGATATCTTTCTTTCGAATAATCAAATTACATGTAATCCAACTTTCGTTTGTCCTTCCATAAGGTAATTAATTAGATTCATGTTTTTTTTTTTTAACTATAAGTTCGTAACCTAAAAAGTAATTAAAAATGTTGTAGAAAACTATATAGCTTCCATTATTGCTATGTATAAATATAAACATTGTTCTCAGTCTTTTTGGCCAGAAGATTCTTGGACTCTTGTCTTGGTTACATAAATTTATTTTCGTATTAGTTTTTGTCCATTTTCAAAATAAAAAAAAATAAAAAACCTTATGTTGTGTATCAATTATCATATTTGATTTTTTTGTACAATGAAAATAGACTGTAGAGCAGAACAAAAAAGAAGACCCAAGGCTGACGTGGTAAAGGAATATTACTGTTTATTCATCAGGCTTTTTCAGTGTTAAAAGTTAATACTCTAGTGTGAGTAACTACGAACTTGTGCTTTACATGATATTAAACTAAAATATAGTTTCTTTCTACAATATACATTTGAAATATTTCTAACAGCTTAAATAGACACTTCGGATCTCAAGGCTTCTCCTTGTCCCTTCTCCTGCTTGTCTTCTCTGGTTTCTAGTGTAGTAGTGATGGTTAGGATCTGTGCTCTGATCCTCTTTTATCTGTGCTCGTTTCTGCTCAGGGTGTGGTTGTGTGAGCTTGGTTTTGTATCCTTCTCGGGCTTTTCATGTAAAGGCAATCTAATGATGGGTCCTCTTGTTGCTCCGGTTTGTAACCACTTTCCAGCGTCCAAAATGTTCTATGGAAATGTTCGTCGGATTCTTTTCGTGAAGAGTTTGCAGTTGTGTTGCTTGAGTCTTAGATATTAGCCTTTCCCTATACTTTAAGGTTTTCCTTCTTTTATGTCTGCCTTTTTTGGCCTTTGTCTCTGGGGTTTCCATGTACCCGCCGGCTTAGTTTTCCGGGGGTTAGAGTCCCGCCGGCGTTAGTATTTCACCATGTATCCCAACTTTGTATTTCTCCCTTGGTTATATTTCATGAATTATTCAGACGAAAAAAAAAAAAAAGACACTTCCAGTTTTTCCCTCGCATTTTTAATACAAAATAGACATTTTTACTTTATTGTCTTAATATATCTATCTAACATGGTTTTAGATGTGGTTGGTGTACCTAACGCTTAAAGTTTACTTGATTAGCAAATTAAAAAAAAAAAAATTGGAAGGAAGTAGTAGAGGCATTGTTCCCAAATCAAATTCTCTGTAAGAAAAATGATTTACGGTCTTAAAAGCTAGTTCTGGACCCAAAAATGGACCTAAAGCTCAGAATTCTTTTGTTACAGAAAAAAGAGATATGATTGGTGTTTATTTCCGGGTCGCTTTCTACGAGTAAAGTAATGGTCAATCACAAATCTTTTCATACCAAACTCTGCCATTATTACATAACACTCTTATTTTCCTTAACCAAGAATGGCTTTATTGATAACTTTTTCCTTCTTTAATTTTGGTCTCTCCTTTTCTATTACTTTTTTTTGTCATTCTTACTTTAAAAATACTAGAACTCAAGATTCACTAGAAAATTCAGAGGTTATGATTAAAATGTTTAAATTGTCGTACTGTACTGATCGATTAAAGAAACTGACACAAGTCACACAACACAAAGATGTGAGAATGTACACTAAAACCCACGAGGCAAAGATTTTACTCTTTTTCTGTTTTTTCTTTTTTGTTTTTTGTCAAGAAGAGGTAAAGAGAGTTGGAATCATTTTCTCCACTTGTTCGTTTTTATAAGTTGGACTCTACGGCCCAATATAGAGATTCTTTTGGTTTCAACCCCAATCTTGTGTTCCACAGAACAACAAATCCCTTTAAATTATTTTGAGCCAATTCATATATCTTCCTAACATATAATTGGAGCTTTCTTTGCTTGTCAACAATTAACAAAGGCCTGTTTCTAATACTAAACACATCTTTTATTGATTAATCAAAATATTGAAGCAAATGTATTAGAGATCAAAATGTATATCATGATTGTATTACCGAATGGGGAAGGCTAAACCCTCATACTTTTAAGAGTTATTTTTAAAAAAAACCATTAAACGTAGAATACCTTTCAGATTTAAACACTTTTCAATATTCCCTTCGGATTTAGGTACTCTCAGTAACTAAGATGACTCTTTTACCCTTAGTTAGATGACGTCGAATAATTGATCTGCTTCAAACAAATTATGAAAAAAAAAAAGTTGAATCCAAAACCCGTAGAACTCTTTTTGCTCCCCAGATTTCTAATTCTCTTTGGGTAATCAATGATGTTGTTTTGTTTGGTTGATTCTTCTCATCAAATCTATCTCTGCATCTCATTTGTTAAATCCAGCGCCGGAATCGGTTCCCGATCTATGAGACTTCGAGAACGTTGGAATTGGATTGCATATACTTTATCCCTCATATGAGCTTCCCAGTGAGTCTATGGAGGAGGCTATTAGCTCTGAGCGGGATAGTATATATGTAACATTCTTTTTTACCATTGAGATATGCTACATCTGATAGCCATGGCCCAGATCTATTGTTGTTCAGATTTGCGATGGTGACGACGATGAGTGGAATGAGCGTTTCTGGTTTCTATGGCTCCGTCTTGGAAGGCGGCAATCGAAGAGGAAGCTTGAATCCCCTTGTTTCGTGAAGTCATCGCCATTACGCGAATCCATAAACGCTGATCAGAAATAGGAAATTTCTGAGACACGTCAGTGAGTGGAGATTCCAATCGAAGGTAAATACGCCAATTTTGTGCTTTTATTTTGGTTTTGGCCATCGAATTGGAGCAGTACATATATGTGTATCTCCATTTCTCGTTTGCTTGGAATCACCAAACTCCAATTTGGTAATTAGTTGGTTCGTGAACCTTTGTGATGCGTTTGACTCTCCTAAGTCGTCTTCATTACTCGCTTCAGTTTCAACAATGGCTTAAGGATCGATCCCTTTGTCTGAAGGTAAGGAAATCATATTTGGCAATGCGTATTTTATCAATACAGACTAAAATTGGTTTCTCTTTAGGCTCATTCATTTGTCTTGGATTTAGAGTATTATTTTGAATACTACCGCGTCGTTAAATTGGTTTCCCCTTGGGTTTAGTCATCTGTCTTGGCTTTATGATATAGTCTTGAACACCACTGCGTCGTTAAACTGGTTTTCCTTGGGTTTAGTCAAATGTCTTGGCTTTAGGGTATAGTTTTGAACACCACAACATCGTTAAATTGGTTTCCCTTGGGTTTAGTCATCTGTCTTGGCTTTAGGGTATAATTTTGAATACCACAGCGGCCTTAAATCGGTTTCACTTGGGTTCATTCATCCCTCTTTTCTTTAGGTTATAGTTCTGAACACTACCACATCGTTTAATCTGTTTCCCTTGGGTTTATTCAACTATATTAGCTTTAGACTACAGCATATATAGTTTTGAACACGAATCATTAGATGGACAAAAAATTATAAAGATCTCCAACATATGGTCCATCTAATAGTTGTCAACTTAGTTATAACAAGGATTATAAAGATGTTATGGTTTCCAAAGTTCTATACTCCCAGTATACTATGTTGATCTGAATGTGTAGGTAAAACAAATGTTGAACTTTCTTAATCGTTTTGAAGGTACGATAATACATTAATCTCACCTTTATTGGGAGGTGTTTACTTTCTTCCTCTTCTTTCTCTTATAATCTCTTTTGTTTCAACTCATTTCTAAAGATACGTTCAGAATAACATGAGAAGACGAAATGGACATATCAAGAAGAATGAAGAGCTTCTCACTTTATCACTCGACGAATCATTATGTATTTTATCGATGTGTTTTGATGGACAAACAAATGAATGTCTTTGGTATGTACACCGAGAAATATTATAATTGGTTTGACAAAAAAACATAAACATGTATCATGAATCTCAAAAAGAATTTTATATACATGAAATCAACTATATGCATACACTATCGTCGAAACTGTTCGTCAAAGCACCAAAGCTTTTGCCATATGTCTCTAAGATGACAAGCTTGCTGGATATTTTAGAAAAGAACTCCCTCTATCATCTGACGTTATGTCCAAAAAAAAATTCTCTCATTGCAACAAGGGTAAAATCGTCCGATCTTGTGCATTTTCACGGAACTATTTAGGTGTACAGAAGAAAATGCCCAAATACGAATAGGCCTCCCGTAAAGTGCCTATTTTGACAAATCTCCCTACTTTTAAATGTTCTTGTTTGTAAACACTTATGTGTTCGACCTTGTCCTTTCCGGAATACAATCACGATATACATTTTGGATCTCTACTTACACATTTGTTTCGAACCATGCATTATTGCATTACATTTTTTAACCGAGCTTTTATGAATCATAATTCTATATATTTCATTATGTATTTAAAATGCATCATATATCTCCGACACGAAAACTACTCATAACGAGAAAAATATTTATATCAGTACCATGTTTTTTATTCATTGGTCATCTGATAATAGGGTGAGTTTAAATGGGGTGGGTCAATAGGCTGGATTTACCCATATTAACATCCCTAATCAAGCGTCCTATAATTTCATTTCCAATAAATTAGAGGATTAAATACTTCAATCACGTCCTCATGTACATACATTTCGGATTTAAATCCGATATTCTAGATTAGCAGTCATATACCAACAGTGCTCGCTAAATACATAAAAACATCCAAGTGGGAGAGAAGTTTAATTGGTTGATAAGATAAGAAGTCGTGTGACAAAACACATGTAGACAACTTATAACTAAAAGTGCAAAAAAGTACACACAAATCTTCACTGGCATTAAAATAGAGATGTTCCACAAAATTATTGATTCCACAAACAAAACAAAAACTTACAAGAACAACAAAACATGTGAGCCGAAAAGAGTTGTTGGAACCATCTTTGTCCAATGAACATTTAGATACAGTCAATCTAGATTATCATAAATAATCTAAATTAATTTGTTCATCTTGTATCTGCAACTTGACACTCCCTCGTCGCAACACTTCCTGAATCAACCCAAAAGATTTTCATTAGCTCAAATTAACCCCATGAAATATTACTCAGATTTCTACTAACCCCACTTGTAAATATTTGAGACTTTTTGACAGAGAAATGTTTGACTACAAGAGTGTTATCAATCATGGCTGACTATTATGGATGAATTAAAAGAACAAAAAAAAAAATTCCAATTTTTCACAATCCCAAGAATAGTTTTGGTTTGAGAATCTCCGGTTACCCAAAAAAAAAAACACAAAACAGAGGATTTGTTTGTATATATACCTGAGATTATTTTGTGATCTTGAGTTAACACTTCCTCATTGACTTTATCAGTCTTCTTAGATCTACAATGGGTCCTCTTAAGGCCCAATAGCTCTCTCCACGTGCCCTTTGTGGAAAAGGATGAAGAAGACAACAATATTGGCCTGAGGGAGAAGTTCTTGCCATCAACAACAGAACCCTCTTCTTCAATAAGAAGCTCTTCTCCTAAGGTCCTATGGACGTGACTGGTCTCCTTCAAAGGTAAAATCTTTCCTTTGAGAAAGATTTCATCGGCGGGAATCATCGAGTAATCGGTGACTGAGAAAGCGAAATCAGCAGAGGGCATGGAGAAAGAGCTTCTTGAGTTCATGTTGTTGGTCTTAGCATTACTCTTCTCCGATCTGATCTCGACAAACTCGTTAGAGAATGAGATTCTTGCAGCACCATTCATGGAGTTGTGCATTTCTAAACGTGCCATTTATGTTTTTTACACCGACCCTTTATAAATACTCAATTTTGCATATAGAATGAAAGATCTAAGAATTCGGGTTATATATATAGGAAGTTGGAATGAGATGATTAATGTCCAACTCATAGATCCATCAAGCTTGATCTATATGACTATATTCTATATACGAATATTTGACCAAAAGATTCTATAAAAAAAGGTGTTATGTATAGATTATCGTTCATTGGCAAGATGTTGTTGATCTTCGTATCTTCAAGGAGTAAAAGATCACATGGAGGCACGTGAGAAACTATCCATTTGTCCTCTGTTATTTCTTGTTTTATTGCTTACCATCAAATATACTAACTCAGTGATATCTCGACAATGATGGGCACAAAATGTTTCTAATTAATATCATCATATGGTAACGTGCAGTCAAAGGACCAAGGTTGTCAATCATGTGCTTGGAAGTTCCGTTGAACATTGTTTATCCTGTGTCGTCGTGATGCGAAGACGCCACTTTGGTTCGCTCATAATTGGTCAAAAAGTAGTTTCAGCTCATTATAGGAAAATATCAAAACATCATTGCTTAAACGACACTTATTTATAAACGGAGAAAGTAATATTATTATAGATTTCATCACACTTTTAGATATCAAGCTGACAAAATGGAAGCAATTAGATGTGGAGACTTCGTTGGGGTTTGTTTGTGCCTAATAAATAAAGGAACAAGACAGAGATTAGGCCTGTTTATTTTGGGCCAAGTATAAACAGAGTGGGCTTTTTATCGGATGGCATCTACGTTAGTGACTAGTGGCGAGAAATGGGAAATGGGGACCAAAAAGACCACTGAAGAAGATCGAGAGTTGACGTCATCATGGCACGTTTGGATTTCGAACAAAGAGGACAAGACTGACACTGAAAGATTGAATTCGTCAGTGCGCCTTCGTACGCATTTAATACTCCCTCTGTTCCTAGAAGATTGATGTTCTAGAGTTTTCACATATATTAAGAAACAATCATTGTTTAATTATTTGTCAATTACTTTTTTTATACTAAACATTTTTTAATAACTTTAAACCAATAGTATTAGAAAACAGTTAATCATTACGTCTTGAAGTTTACGATATATTAATTTTAATCAATTAAAAATAAAACAAAAATCTAAAAAATCAGTGGAACAAACTAAAACTCTAAAACATCAAATATCTAGGAACAGAGGGAGTATCTTCATCAAATAATTTTCATGAAGTAAACAAAACTATAGGCAAGAAAAAAGTGGGGACAAAATAATGAAAAGGGAAAATAAATGGTGTGTTAGTGAAAGATCTTAGAGCATTTCAATTTCAGTCTCTTTTATGGGACAATAATTATAAACCACAGTCTAAATTCAAAATCAAACTTAGAGCATTTTCCTCAGTTTCAAGGGATAATAATTCTAGTTTTTTTTTTTTTTTTCACAAATTGCTTTCGAAAACCTTATTCTAGCAACAAAAATATATAATTTATGAGACAACATATGTAAATATATTTTTAGCTTCTTTCGTTTGCACCAAATAAATCTAGTCAAATGTTACATCCAATATATATTACAAATGAACAAAAAGGACAAACCATCATCACACCAAGAACTAGATAAAAAAAGCGTACTAAAATAGCTAAGAGACTAATTATAGTTTTACAGCCAAATCTAAAAACACATTTAAAGAACTTCACTACTTAGAAAATCCCAAATATATCCCCAAATAATTCAATTCTAAAAGCTAACTCAAAGACTAGATTAACTTATCAACCATAGGAAGAAAAAAGGTAACCGGCGGGTCAGAGGTTGATTGGATCGTGTCGTCAACGCCAAGAGGAAACGGTGAGGAGAGGCACATTGTTCCAAGCCAAGGAGATGAAACCTGGCTCCGATTCAACAAGTGAATACAATGTACTATAATTGTAGTTCCATAGTAACAGCTTCGCTTGGCTAACCGCGTAATTACTCGGTGTAACCGGCTCAAAACCGGCTTTCTCCATTAACACTCTCCATTGTTCCTTCTCCTCCATTAGCCCAAACCGGGTTCCCGGTTTATTATTATCATCATCTGATCGAACCAAATCAAATATCCTCCTACCGAACAACACTCTCTCCACTCTCAGCCTTTCTTTCGAATCTCGCTCCAAATTCGGTTCAAGCGATTCAAAAACCGCGGAATAAAACCGGAGAGAGTTCTTAACCCGGTTTGCAAATCCAACCCGGTTTAAACTCACCTCGTATTCACCAAGCGTCACAATCCTCGGGTTTAACGATCTAGCTAACCGGAGCGCCGTACCAACCGTCGTCGCCGTTTCATCAAGAAGCTTATAAAGCTCAAGCATAAAATTCACAACCAAAACCTCATCCGGGTCGACCCGAAAACTCGACCCGTTTAGTAACTGAATCGGCGTCAGAATCGGATAAAACTCGAAATTGAGATCCAAAATCGCCGCGAAATCACGGAGACGGTTACCTGTAGCGATCAGAGACGGTCCCGGTGAATCTCCTAAAGACGGAGCGGGTATACCCGAAATCCGGATCCGGGTGGGTTTACCAGAAGGTCGGGTCGCTAAAGCTTGTAACAGAGCAGACCATTGAATACCTTGAAAAATCCCGAAATCGACTATGTGAATGTTGTTTGATTGATTCGTAGCTTCGAGAATTGCTTGATTCGCTGTTAAATGAGCGAACTTTGAGTATGGACATGCGTCGTTTAAGGTTTTGTATGAGAGAATGAAGTCTTCTAGCGACGACGACGACGAAGACGATGACGACGGAGACTCTGTTTCTTTATGAGACAGAGCTTCTAAGAAGTAATACCCGACTCGCTCTATCGGGTCACCGAATTCGGATACGGATTCTTTGATCCGAATTAGTGTTTCCGGTTTACGTGCATATTCGTGGATAGCTTTTAAAATCGGTTGGTTTAGGTCAAAATCCGGCTGCGGAAGTGGAGGATGATGTTGTGGTGATGGCGGAGATGGAGTCCATATAGTGGTGGAGGTCGGTGGCTGAGAGAGTTGATGACTCGCTGAGTCATCCTTATTGACTCGGTTGAGATTTGAAGGATTACAGAGTCGACTCGGGAACGAGACGAATGAATCATGGCCGTAGATTGGGAAGTCTGGATTGGTTTGCAAAGAATCTCCACCGTTGATCAAACTCTCCATCCACTCGTCGGAGTCAAACTCTTCGGAAGCGACGGCGTTTTGGTGTTCAAGGTGTGGGAAGTGATAACCCGGGTCGTTGGTTACTTGAAACGGGTCGGAGAAACCCGGACCGGGAAGAGTATAACCGAAAGATTGATTGGGCCAAGAATTGTGTTCTTGTTCTTGTTCTTGTTCTTGGTCCTGTTGTTGATGTTGTGATTGTTGTTGTTGTTGCTTCTGTTTGATGAGTTGTTGTGCTATAGCCATTAAGTTTCCACTGTCGGTGCACATATACGCCATTCTCCGGCTAGTTCTCGCCGGCGACGAAGGCGTATCTGTGTGTGTTATTTGGTGGTGATTGAGTAAGGCCCAGAGAGAGAGGAGATGAATAACCGGAGAGAGGTTAAGTAAAATTAGTAGGGAGAAGAAAGAAAGAAAGTGGACAAAAATCTTTGATCAAACTCTGTCCGTTCGATTTTGGTTTTATTTCATTTTGATTATTATTTTTGAGTATTTTTAATCAATTACCATTTTAGTTTACAACTACGAAATTATCGTTGTTAATTGCAAGAAATGAAGAAACTAACATATAGTTTACTAAGAATCTCAAAATATGAACTGAATAATTTTGGTCTCTCATGATTTGTTCTTTTTTTTTTTCGGGTTTAAGATTTTGTAATTCTATATTTTCATATAATCTTTACCATTTTTTCATAAACCTTAATACAGTTTTAACTCATTTTCTTATAATTTTATACAGTGTTTTTTTTTTGCATTACCAATTAATGAGTTGACGTTTAAAAGAAAATTAAAAAAATAGAGATTAAAACGATTTCTCAATTATGGGACCCACAGATACGATGACGTCATCTATCGGCAGTTACGTAACGAAGAGTGTGACATCATCTCCACCGTCCGTAGAATCAGATCAATGGCACTGCTGAATTGGTGAATGTGACACGTCGACAACTTTCTTCTGCTACTTGTCACCTGCATGTCGCCTGGCGCCTGCAACTTTTCTGTCTTTTTATTTATTTTAACTAACATTATTATAAAGGTAAAAGATTGATGTAAGAAAAGTAAAAAAGAATAGTAGGTTAATTTTTATATAATTGTTTCTGCTTTCAAGCCGCAAAGGTCTATAGGTTTTACAAAGCTGTTTCTTATCAACTAAAGGGTCGTTGAATTGGACTTTGGTTAACAAATTACAGTGACTTGGTTTAGTTTCAGTTACTTTTGTAAAAAAACCTTTCGACAAGTTAAGCTAACATCTTGAATATGACTGAAGCAAACAAACATTAAACAATAGAGTGATCATAGACATATTTTATTTGGATACGCATGTCTTTATATCTCAACGTTATTGTTGTTTTGGAGGACGGCTTGTGGGCCCGTAAGTAGGCCCATATACAATGGAGCAAAAGCGATTTGTGGCGGGGTCTACTAGTATTTGTTGTTGGTGGACCGATCTTTGACGAAGAAAATGTAGTAGCCAAAAGCTAAAAATTACCCAAAATACAAAGAAAAGGGTTATATAAATTTAAATCCATAGATGATTAAAAAATTAAGAATACATACATGTATTTTATATAATTAGTTCTCTCTCATCAATTTGTATAAGTTGGACGAAATTGCCCTTCCGTATGTAACAAATTGTTTAGCGATGTAATAAAATAGTTATCGAAAGATAAACTGATACTAGCTTCGGTCAAATTTCCGGTGACAAATCAGTTGCAGTTTTAGATAGTTAATTATTTTGTTAGCTTGATATCTATTATTTGTTTATCAAATACATGGGTAAGAACATCTTATGAGTTAACTTACTATATATTCGATTAACATGATTATAAAATATATACATATCTTAATAAGTTTCTAAATATATCATGCTAAATCATATTGTATCGCGATAAGTTTATAATTTATGTGATAAACTCATATTTATCGTGGTAACTCATTTGTTATGTCATATACAAAAAATAACAAGTTACAAATAGTATAATGTTTTGTGGATAACTATTTGATTAACATGTTAACTAGTATAATATCGTAATAAATTTATATGTTAAATGCATAGTTATCCTGTTAAACCAGTTATCATATTTATGGCACCACAATAATCTCATTCCCAGCTTTTCTAAGAAAGAGTATACCAAGAAGAAGATGAAAAGCATCACATGTTCGTGAAGACCACCACTGTCATAAACTTGAACCACCACACGTCCACACGTCCTCCGTCGCTGTCTCATAGGTTTACAATTCTGCCAAAAAATTGTAAACCACCACCGAGATTCGAATCCACCACCGCGTCCTGGCCTTGACCTTCATTGAATCAAAATCGGAACCACCATTGATTCACTATCAACCGTCTCTCCGCCACGAAATCAAATCGACCAATATCTTTTACAAAGAGAACAAGTAGAGTAGGATTAAAATCAAACTTTTCACACTCCAAAAAATTAATTAGCTTGACCCAACTATCATCAATCTCGCATACTTAATCAATTCGGTACCCATCTTATCCAACCACGTTTTTGATAGGAAGTGTATCAAAATAATCTCAAGTTATGAATCTCCATCCAACATTTATAATCTGGATCTTCTTCTTCCACCACCATTTCTTCTTCTTGATCTTTTTTATTGACTTCTCCTTCCCGCAGAGAACACAAACAAGAGAGAGAAAGATGTATATTGAAGATAGGGGTAAAAAAGTCTAAAGTTGTTGTACAGTATATAATAAAGTTGGAGAGGAAAGAGAACTAATTTCTCATTCTTCTATAGGTAGATCTTCGTAATACCCCAAAGAAAATACCAAAAAAAAAAAAACTCAACGCAATGAAGAAACAAGAAGAAAGTTAAAAGATGATTATAGATTTTAAAAGTATTTAAATAGCAAACCAAGTTTTAACGTTCATGAACGATATATGGTTCGAGAATCTGCTTATTTGAGGTTTCAAGTCCGAAACCATCTAGTGTGAAAGCTCTTTGTGACTTTGCAATTTTAAAAAACTAAAGCAAATGGAATAGAAAAGAACAATAGTGAACAAAAAAAAAGCACATGGGAACGACACTTGACTCTTTGAGACATCACTCTTTTCATTTCATCGTTGTATCCGCGTCAAAAGGCCTACTTCTCCACTACTTATATAACTTAAATAACTAAATTACATTACTCAACATGGTATATGGATATGGTATATGGTCCCTGGTCCAAATCTACTTTTGTTTTTCACTTTTGACATTTTTTACTACAAAGTGCCATGGACTGTTCTAAATTGGTAATGATTTCAAGAAGGAGAATGAAGAAGATGATATTTTGAAAAGGACGACTTGTCTTTGAAAATGGCAATCCCACTTTAGTGTTTAACCATTGCACCTATCTGCAAGTGGACTTAGAGAGAGAGAATGAGTGGTGTGGGAAAGGGACATGAGTAAAAATGAAAGGGTTTGATTTGTCTTTTCTTTCTATCCAAGTCATCGGTGGGGTTTCTTATGTATGACCAAAGAGTGGCATTGAGTCATCCCCAAGAAAGTCTCTCTATATGTTTACCATTTTTGTCACATTCTTTGCTTTTTTTCAATACTAATTTTCAATTTCAACTCTTACCAACTAAAATTTACCCATTTTTGTCTCCTCCTTTTCTTTTTACACTAATTTTCGTTTGAAGCTTTAGTTAACCAACATATCTTTTATTATCCTATTTTGTAAAAATACCCTTTTTCTATGTCCTTTTTTTTAAATACCTCTTTCTATTATCCATTTTTTAAATACCTCATGTTATGTACAAAAATGACTAAAGTACCCATCTTTTGGTGAGAGCAAATAATGAGAAAGTTAATTTTTCTGCCAAAATTTTTTCATAACGATCAAATTGTCCGTAAAAAATTTAAGCGCCGAAATTTTCCCGCAAAAAAAATTGAATTTAATAACCCTAGTAAAATATTTTAAAAACCTTTATAAATTCCTTTTAAAATTCTTGTAAATCTTTTAAAATTGTTAAAAAACCTTTCAAAATCCTTGTAAATCTTTTTAAAAGTTTTTTTTATAAAATTTTATCCATTTAAAAACCTTGTAAATCCTCTAAAACTCATGTAAATCCTTTTAAAATCTTTGTAAATCCTTTTAAGACCCTTGAAAACATTGTAAAATCTTTTTAAACCCTTTGAATCCAGTGAAGACTTTAACGAGGCCAGAACTCCTGATACTCTTATAAATCCTTTGAAAAACTTTTTAAAATCCTTGTAAATCTTTTTAAAACTCTTGTAAATCTTTTAAAAAACCTTTTAAAACCCTTTTAAAACCCTTGTAAATCCTCTTAAAACCTTTTTAAAACCCTTGTAAATATATTTCCCGCAAAAAATCGGGATCTTGTTTCCCGGCAAAAAACTAATTGAATATATATATATATATTTGTCAGTTAGTTTATATATCTGTTCAATTAGTCTATATATTTGTTCAATTACTAATTAATTTTCTATTTTTGAAGGTGTTTTCTCTTTCAGATTACAAGAGATCCATGACCATTGTTCTGTGGGATTGGGAAAACTGCAACGTTCCAGCCTATATCAAACCGAAAGAACTTCTTGGAAATATCAAAAACGCGCTGTGTAACTTAGGATACACGATGGATATCGTTATGCAGGGATACGACGATGCCAATGTTTTGAAGGATGGTTATCTCGACGAACTTGCTCTTAGCGGTATCAGAATGACTCACGTACCTCCGGGGAAAGATGCGAGTGTCAAGTGATATGCTTAATCTGACTGAATTTATAGAAAAATCAATTGAGCATATTACTTGTCAAGTGATAAGTTTTTAATTCCTTCTTATAGCCTCAAATAAAATTTTTGGGACAAGAATAGCACTCAAAAGTTTATTGGACAAAAATAGCACCTTATTCTTATTTTTTAAATTAATAAATAATTATAAATATATACAAAAAATCACAATATTTCCTCAAGAATTCCTCAATATTTCCACTATTTCCTCAAATTCCTCAAGTTTGTATTTGTTCACTAAAATTCAAATAACATAGTCCATCAACTATCCAGACCGTAGATTATTAAAATCATATGATCTAAGAATAAATTTCCTTATATTTTTTTCAATTAAATTGATTTCTAAATAATAATTCTGCGACATTTCATTAACCAAAATATATTACTCATTGAATCAGTTAAACAGAAAGAATTAAGCTAGCTAGTTAGAAAAATATTTGGTGACGACTGTCTCATACAAATAGAAACATACAACATTTTTTGGTTTTTTTAAATGACAAAGTCCCTATCCGAACATTAAACTTATTGACCAGCTAACTCACTTTGGAGTCCAAATTTTAGTTAGTTTTTTTTTTTTTGGTAGAATCCAAATTTTAGTTAGTTAAACAATTAATCTCAATGCTTTTCCACGTTTTCTGATTATTATTCTTCTAACCAGAAGAAAAAAAATTGCTTGCGGGCCAATGCACT